TAAAATAATAAATAATATAATATATTGCATGGACTTAAAATATAAGATTTTTGTTGAAAAAATAAATCGATGTCTCATTATTTTTTCCACAGATTTTCCCATTTTAATAACATACTAAAATTATTAGTCCTGACAATATTAAACATCCTTTATAATATGCACTAAACAAACAATATTGCATTTTTAAAAAAATATATCCGCTTATTCTTTTTTAGAAATAAGATACATATCAATGAAAACTCGTGACAGCTATCTCTTTAACTAAGCGATTAAATTAGAAAGGAAGAAATTCAAGAAAAAATTTACCCTGACAAGAATCCATCAAAGAAAGTGGGAGATTAAATCCATCGCTTTAGAACGAAGCAAAAGCAAACACCTTTTTAATTTTTTAAGAAAACTATATTGAGTAAAAGTTCAGCTGTCCTATTCCCACGATGCTTTTTTTATCTTTCATTTCTAAGTTTGATGTATGCAAAGAAAAATTTTTTTTTCAATGGAAAGAAACGTTAAGGCTAATTACCCTCCTATATCGTCCACATTTTTTAGTCACTAAATTCAACGATGAATTATATCTTGGAATATAAAAGAAAAATAAATGTTAGATATATAATTTACCTACTTAGAAAAAATTTTGATATTCGGGAAAGCATTTATAATTTGTGGAGGGTAAAAGAAAAGGTTTTTTTTTCCCTAAAAAGTAACATCATTATTTCAGGAATTAAATAGATTGGAATAAAGATGCTATTTTTTCTTATTAATTATGGGTTAATTGTAAAAAAAAATCATTGATGTATAACTTTCTTTGAGAAGAAAGGAACGTCTTTGTAATTTCATTTCTGAAATTCTGAAGAACATCATCATCGGGAATCGCTTCCAGAGCATTTTCTATATTTTGAATAAGTAAAATATTTTCAAATTGTGCAAATTTTTGGTTTGATTGAAACCTTATATAATTAGACTAAAGTTAATGCAGTTTAATATTTTATCCTAAACACATTTCAAGCGAGTCATGTAAAAATAAATTTCTAAATTTCTGCGATCCATACAGAAGTTTAAGAAGTGGTAGCAAAACTATTTTGTTTTCACTCGTTTATTTTTCAAAGAAATGATCTATTCGTGATTATCACAAACATAAATGGTTCAGTATATATTTAATCAGTACTGTAATCGTTCATCGTATATTTTTTAAATTGAATTTGTAGCTATAATGACAAATTTGCATAAACTTTTATAAAATCTTGCATACTAATTTTTTTAAAGTTTTAATCTATTCCAGCGGAAATACATTTTTTGAAAAAGTTGTCCACAAGCCCTGTGTTAATTTACATAAAAATATAGGGTTAAATCTATCCCTAAGTAGGTATGGGCAAATTCATTGATAGTATTACGGTACACATACAAAATTTAATACATCTGGGCTTGTTTCCAAAAATTTATAAAATTTTTATATTTTTGCTAATGTCAAAAGTAAATTACACAAAAATAAAATTGTATCTTTCAAAATTGGGGGATGTGTTTTTCAAAAATTGTATTTTTAAGGTGGTGTAGATGCTTGCAGTCGTATTTTTTCCCTTAGAAAAAACCATTTTTATTTAAATTGATTAGATCTATATATCAATACATAATTTTAATCATAAAAAAAGTATTTTATTTAAAGATGTACGTAAGTTACTTTTACAAATAATTCAAAAAAAGCTGTATATTGTTTTACTTAAATTAATAATTATACGTTTTTTCTGCATTTGCTGTATCCTTAAAATATTTAAAAAATACCGATTAATTCAAATAATAAATAATATTAAAACTTAATTAACAGTTTGGGTTTGTTCAGTCTTCAGTCATTCTTAAAAGAAATATAGTACCAATAATAACAAGTTTTAAGACGTGTTTAATCAAGCCTTATCACACTGGCCCAGGGAAGACAAAAAAAAAAATATTTTATAAGAAAGGGATTAATACAAAACTCTACGTCAAAATTATTTTTTTATCAGTCAAATTAAAGATGAAAAATCAAAATTTAATGTGACACATTGCAAAATAAATTCAAAATAATAATTAATAAACTGTTATGACAAGTCTATCAAATAAGTTTTTGCTTTTGCCCCGGTATCACCTATATTATTATAAGGACACCAACCAATTTATATGTATTTATATGTATTTACAAGCTACCTACTTTCAACTCTTTCTCGGAAAAAAATTCTTGTGTTAGGCAAGTTTATGTTTCGAAGTATGGTTCGTTGTTTTGAAAAATCTATTAGATTGAATTTTGAAAAATCTATTAGATTGACGGAATTCCATTTTTTATTAAAATATAAAATTAAAAAAAAGCGGTTTGAATTATTTATTTTTTTTCATATTCAAAAACTTATCAATAATTTATTCTGTAAAGATAAGAAATTTGATGATGATTGACTTTTTCTTAGATCTAAATGATTTGCACATAAATTTAACCCTTTAACGGGCCCTTTATTTCTAGTAAAGGAAAATTAAAAAATTTTTGGAATTGAAATTGTTTTAAGAACAGTAACTGATATAAGAAAAAAAACTCATTTTGTTTATAAAAATGCCATTTTCTTGGTGGTAAATATATTTAACATGACCTATTAGAAACTTACTGACTTTTATTTTTCTTTATTTATAAAATAAATTCCTTAAATGCTACAAACTTCAAAAGGAATTATGTATTTTATAACTTTTATACGGTTTTTAAAAGTGACAAATGGTTACCAATTTTATTCAAACCCACTGCAAGAAAGCTGAAGTTATTGAAAAATGGAAACCTAAATTAAAAGTGGTAAAGCGTGGTGGTAAGTATACTTACCACGGCCTTCAAAAGGGTTAAATTCGAAAATTTAAATTGAAATTTCTTCGCGTATGAGTAATGCTTTTCGTATTTTACATTTAACGCAAGAATGATACTAGTGCCTCAGGCAATATTTCACAACCTAATTTTACTTAAGTTAATATGAAATAATGAAAAAAGTTTGAAAAATGTGTTTAATAAAAAATATGGATCAAAAAGATAATAATTTTAGGATATTAAAATATTTAAATATACTCTTCTGAGGCTTTCAGGGCTGCGCCAGTAAAAATAAACTTGTAAGAAATATTTTGCAACTAAATTTTCTCAATTTCGCCTCCAAAAACGTATTCAAGCTTATGATTCAAATTTAACTAAGAGACATAATATTTTTTTAAAGGAAACAGTCAATTCATAGCTAAGTACTTACCATTACTAAGCGTTTAATTTTTCAATACTTTCAGAGAAAAATAGTATTTATAGCTAACACAAAATCAAACTATTACTTGTTTGAAAACAAATACCATTATTGACAAGATTCATATTAAATTTATTTTTTTATTGCCTGTTTAATACCCATAGTTGTAAAGTATTTACAATTTGAGTATAAGTGAAATAAATTGTAAATGGTATTTTACGAAGCTTTAGTTAGGTACACACAAGTTTTATCTTTTACTTACATCCAGAGGCAATCTTTCTGATGAAACTCGAAATAGTCTATACTTAAGAGAAATTGCTGATTACATCACGTGCTGAAACAAAGTTTTGTGACCCTAAGTATCCCATTATTGAGAAAATATATGCCATGGCTTTGAAGTTGCTGAGAAAACTTCTTTATCAAATAAATCTAGTCAAGAAGGATTGAAACAAAACAGTTAAATAGTTTACAAGCTAACTTTTCTTTCTGCGATATATATATATATATATATATATATATATTGCTTATTTATCTTTAGGTACTCTTCTTAGCTCTTTTCTCCTACGCTTGTGCTGGAGCAAGTAAGTTTTATATTATTTCAATTGCTTTAAGATTTCTTATTTTGCTTTAATATACTTTATGAAAGAAAGCATTTTGAGATTTGAGAAAG